GAGGAAAAGGCAAGGAATGCTAGCAGTCCCTAGAGCAGGGGTGGGCAAGAATATGGCCCATGGGCCAAATCTGGCCCACCAACTGGCTGGAACTGGCCTCTGGCTGCCCCCATTGTGCTCCAAATGGGGCTGAGCCCCACCTGCTCCCTCCAGGGCAACCATGTTGTGCTCCTGCCATTTCCGGTCCTGGCCAGCATGCAGCTTCTGGCAGGGCTGATCCCAGTGCAGCTGCCGCTGGCTGGATGCTCCCCTCACCTCCAGCGGGAGCTGCTGGGCTGAAGTTTCCCCCTGCCCAGGCAGGAGCAGGAGCAGGAAGAGGAGCTGCCACTGGAGGTGAGGGGAAGCACAGCAGTGCCTGAACAGCTGCAGCCACATTGGGAACAGCCCCACCAAAAGCTGAGTGGACCAGCAGCACCAGCAGTAGCAGGCACAGCTGGAGGCAAGGGGAGCAGAAAAGCCCTGGCAGCCCCAGCCCCAGCCCTGGCCAGCATGCAGCTTCTGTTGGGATTGTTCCTGACGTGGCTGCAGCTGCCCAGGTGCTGCTCTGTTTCTCTTGCCTCCCAGTGACAATGCAAGACCAATTGGCTACAGTCACATTGGGAACAGCCCCTCAGAAGCTGCACACTGGGGCTGGCGGGTGTGGGCGGGAGCAGAAACAGCTTGCCTCAAACAGGGCTCAGCCCCTTGTGGAGTGCCGCAGGGGCAGCCGCCAACCAGGCAATCTCTGCTGCATGTGCCCCTGGCCTTCATTCACCCCTGGCTGTCTTCCAGGCAGTCCCCTCACATGCACACAAGACCCCTCCACACAACCCCATTCACCCCTCTGCCACCCCTGACACAAGGCAGGGCATGCATGGAGTGAATCATGCCTGTCCAAGTCCCAAACACTGCTCCCCATCCACCCAAAGCCCCACAGGAAGTTTTGGTGAGTTGTTGCATGCAGGGGTTGACCCAATCCACAACAGGTCATCAAAACTCCCTATGTGGCCCTTGGACCCAAATAATTGCCACCCCACCTTAAACCCTTTCACAACTCTAGAGACTCCCAACCAGCCTCTGGTTCCAAAAATGCTTAACTGTCATCTGCCAAGGCTCCCACATCAGATCCCTGCTTCTACAGCTAGTAGTCCTGGCTCTGTTGCTCCTTCTGAGTCTCTGGCCATGCATCTCTCTCCGCAACAGCATCCCGCACTCCATCACTGCTTTCTACTTTCACCCATCCCCTGCAGCCTTCTGGGAATTGTAGTGGGCATTACAGTTCACTCCTTTAGTCCCCCAGAGGCTTCTGACCACTCTAGTTCACACTGCAGTACATGACATCCAACATTACAGTCCATTACACTATTTGATCATTCTTGGAAGCATCTGTAAATGCCGTTGATTTCAAATCCTATGCCTGTCCACACTGTAAGGTGTAATACCCTTAGCAACTTTGTTTGATGAGGTTACGTTGTTGTACGTTGAGCTATAGGACTTTCCTGAGTGAATGCATTGATGTAAATTAGTGGCTGAGAGCAAAACTAAGCAGAGAAGCAACACAATTGATGCAGATAAGCAAACTTCCCAACAAGCCCTGGGAGGCAACTGGAGCACAGCATACTTCTAGGCTCCAGGCCAAAGTTAAAAAAAAACTGTTTTATAGGCAGAGAATGGTTAAAAAACTCCTCAGAGGGGAAAGGGGTTGCCATATGATTCTCAACACCCCTGGAAAAGATACACTCTTGGTTTTGTGAAGGCAGAATGAAGAAAAGAGGATTTTTCCCAGAGGCATGGCTGACTGCTAACTGCATGGAGCAGGGACAGAGTCTATTTGCCAGTGTCACACCCGCCCCTTTATGCTCAGCCAGGAAACAGCAGCCAAAGGGTTGGTGTCATTATAGGAGAATTGAGTGCTCCTGCACAAGGGATGCAACTGCCCCAGCTCCAAGAGGTATAATTGGAGACTAGAAGGGGTCAGAGGTGCAGTGTACCTATATTGGTGTCATCAGGGTGGGTGGTAGTGCTGGTGACAGTAAAAATGCTAAAGCAGGGGAAGAAAATGTTGCAGGAAGGAAAAGAAAAGAGGAATTATCCAGTATTTGGGGGGAATGACAGGAACAAATAGTTATGAGTGTGCAGGCCGGCTCCCGGTCCCGTCCTCGCCGGGCGCGAGCCGGGCCTGTCTGTGTGCACGCGGGCTGTGGCCGGCAGCCCCGGCCCCCCGGCCGGGGG